AATTTTATGCTGAAGATTTGGTTTTTTTTTGAAAATATTCATCATTCGAGGCTGAATCCGAATATGTTATTAAAAATGTTCCATGTCTTAACAGTAATTTTTAAACCTGTTTTTTCAACTTGGGGTCCGGACGGACCCCAGGTGGGCAACAAGTGATAGGCCTATAGGTGGGCGGATGAGGGTTAATATAAATATTAAAGGGATTTTCGAGACGCATCAAAGACTCGCATATTACTGGAAATATTTTCGAATCCAAGACAACGCTCACGAGACCTTTTGGTCGGCGTTCACAACCAGCATAGGCGTGGAATACTGCGAACTTCTCAAATTGAATGTAAAAGGTGCTCAACCTAATACAAATCTAAAGAGTTTTATGGACGTCCGCTAGAAATTCCAAAGAATCTAAAACTACTTCTGACCGATTCATCATGATAGATTATCAATATTCTGTCAGTTTCAGTTGCCAAATTTTAAAGTAAGTTTATAAGACAAATTTTCTTCTTTTCGAAAACTGGAAAATATAGTATCAATATGTACTTAAATGGTTCAAGCGCAAAGGTAGTGAAAAATTTTATAAACTGGCAAAGGCGGAAACAGGTGTCTATTAATTAAAATGAAGGAGATTTCGTTAAGAGGCTAAATTAACCTTTAACACATCAAACAGCACCAGTTGAGCAGTCAGTAATCTTCATAGTCGAGAGACCATAGCCGTCCAATCACTCTCGCATAAACATTGAAAAATAACTTACGATGCCAAAATAAGTTTCGATATTGTGTTAATGTCTCAATGTGAGAACCAAAATCCAATTGATGATTAAAAATATTTTCTATCGTCTTTTTATTTTCTTATTACTTTTTATTACTTTTATTACTTTTTGTAGTTAATACTTATTACTTGGTAATAAGTAATAACAGTTATTACCTTATCATTTATTACTTTTATTACTTTTGAAATTTATTACTTATTACCAAGTAATAAGTAATAACACTTTTGTTATTACTTATTACTAGTAATAGTAATGTAGCAGCCCTAATGTCTAATAATAACACGTAGGAGCTGGAAATGACTAAATTAAACGGTTTCGATCATATGGTCGGATCTGGCTGTAGGAAATAACCGAATACAACTATTTTCAACAGCTACATCAGATTTAACATTTGATATTGGTTTAAAATCGATATTTCTATCCGATATCGATCAGAATTATTAGATTTGCATCTCCGGGAATGAATCACTTATATTTACTATGTATTTACATTTATTTTAATCCCATTCTGACTGCATAGAATGGCAACCAATGATAAAAAACACGTAATGTTATCGTATCAGTGGGATAATAAAGAATTAGTATTAGGGATTTATAATTATTTGAAAGCACAAAATATTCGTGTTTGGATGGATGTTCAAGGGGGAATGAAGACACATTTAGCCGAAAGGTAAACAAATCTTTTTCTTTATTAAATGTTTTATATACTTTACTTTTTACTCTAGCATGGCTGAAGCAGTGGAAAATGCTGCTGTTATTTGCTGTTTCTTAACACCCAAATATCAAGAGTCTAAAAACTGTAAACTTGAACTCCAATATGCCGTTGGTCGAAATGTTCCAGTTATACCGTGTATGATGAGTGCCAGTTATAAACCATCAAATTGGCTTGGTATTACATTAACTGATCTTATTTGGCTTAACTTTCGTCAGCTATCAAATGATAATATGAATTTGAAAGGGGCCGAGTTGATCGATCGAATTCATCTATGTGTGGGCGATAAGTTCGATTCATTATTGGGTAAATGGGACTCTATATACGTTCTAATTTATTTAAGACAGTTTATATCGTTTAGATCAACAGATTCCGGTCCAAAAAGATGATAAACCAAAACCAAGACTAATAAAATCAGCAACTATTGGTGAGACAAAAAACAATTCTGTATCGAAGCGTCCGTCTTCAGCCGTACTCAAATTAGCTACCCAGACCATTCCAGAAGTACCTTTTATTGATTACAGCGTTGATTACAGTACCAGAATACCAAAACCAGTTCGTGAAGGACCAGAAATACATGTTGGTGATCATAAACTAACGAAATATAAATGCGAAGGTGATTCAATTGTTCGTTTAATACTTGGTAGTAATGTACTGGTTACATGTAATCAAGAGTGGTTTAGTCATGATCAAAAGTTTACTAATTTTCTTTTTATACCGAAAATAACATTTTCAAATACAAATGCTAAACCAGTGTCTATTACTGAAGTGAGAGGTGAATATGAAGATCACGATCATTCATGGAAATTATGTAAAGATGTTAAAATCGGTCCAACAACAAATGATGATGAATACAAATGGAATGGTGATACAATCGTTAATTTAGGAGCAAATAAATTAATCGGTTTTGCTGTTCGGTTAGATATTGAAGTAAATGGTGAACCAGGCATTGATAACATCCGACGAGCAAGAGCACACAAAAGTTTACCACAACCGTTGAAACTGAAAATAATAGTGGAAGATACGGATAATAAAGAATGTAGTTTAATTGTTGAACAACAAAATACACTGCTTGAATTACCAACAAAAGAAAGTGCTATATCTGATTGGACGGACAAAGATGATGGTGAAGGACTTCGAGAAATAATTGCATTTGTTTATGCCGATGATTGTGAAACAGATCAGCGTACATTTGTTTCTATGTATATCGATAACGATGGAAACACAAATATTCGATGTGGCCAAAGTGTCAGCAGTGGAACAACCTGGTATTTGAATAATGAAAGGGTAGAATCATTACAATCGGAGGCTAGAGAAAAGAATGTTAATGAAATCTCTATCGAAGAGCAAAACGGAAATGTATTAGCCCTGTTTGATCCAGAAAACGAGTATAGAATGTACGCAATACGAATTGAAATAACAACTGCAACATCAAAAACCGTTCAAACGTTGTTATTACCACCAGTGACGTCAGCAAAATTGGAGAATCTCCCTAAAGTTTTGCCCTTAGATTCAGTCAAATTACGACCAATCCGCACATGATTCAGCCGATTCAAGTGGGAACAGACACACAATCGTTTTTCTAGACTCGTGTATTTGCAGTTATGAGAATAAAACGGAGGAAGAAAAAAAGAGCAGATATGTGAACAATTTTTGTTATTCTAATTACCTGATGTATAAGTCACACTCTCTGAACATTTTCGGATTGTAGGTAGCTGGCATGCTTAGGGCTTTCCGTAATATAAAATACCGTATTTTCGTAAGCTTTATTGATGGAGTTCTGAAAATTTTTCGTAAGTTTACTTTGTTCACAAATTGGATTTAGACAGGGGGAGGTCTAAAAGCACTATTCAGGTTTTTTCTAGTTTTTTTTGGCAATTATTTAAAAAAATGGAAAACTGAGATATGGTAATTGATACAAGGAACATTTATCCATACTCGGTAATGAGTTTCAAATGTAATTTTGAGAGCATCAGACCTTCCTCCTCCGAAGGTTCTAACAAACGTTAATCAACTTTAAAACTAACAGATTATACTGCTAGGTCTATTCTGACTAGGTTTTTTAATTTTATACTAGATGATAATCTCACATTCGAATATACGGAATCTGAATTACTTGCTGATTTACATATGATAAAATTATATTTTAATCAAATTTTATTCGTCTACCCCAACGATGTTTCATTCGAAAGTTCATCAAAAAATGAATAAAATCATGTTTTTTTTAAATTTTTTCGAACGGAAACTAGATTTTTCAGAAGCCTACTATCTGAAAAATTAGTAATTTTAAAAACAAAATTTTTCCGATAAACTTTATTTTTCTTCGTTCAGTGGATTTCCCGCAAAATATAAGTTAGTGCGTTTTGTAGAGCGTGCAATTCTCAACAAAATGTGTTATAAATCTTTCTTTCATGACCTCAAGAACATGTTGAAAAATTGTTTGTAATTATTACCATCAAAATAATTATACTATCATTTTTCGTGAATTGGCTGAACTTAAAATGAGTACAGATGCCATCGAGGCATGAGAATGTCATCAGCGGATTGGGCGATGAAATGGCTTCCGGAAAAATACATGGAGTCGCAGGACGATTTTTTCGCCAAGCGAGGTTTATCATCGCATATTAGTGTGGTGGTGAAGAAAGTAACTAGTGCTACTAGAAAAAGCACACAGCCGAAGAATATTACGGTTAATGATGAAAGTGATAATGAAGAAACTAGTGATGAAGAGGCCGAGTAAGAAGAAATGTCTGCACAAATAGTTATACTCATACAGTTTATGTTCATGCTATGGATTATTGTGTTCAGGATAATGAATCTGTCGTTGCCATTCTTCAAGATGTATTGGTACGTGTTAAAGCAGATGATCCATCGATAGAATATGCGTACTGTCGAGCAGCTAACGCAGGATTACCATTCTGCTGGTACAATCCTGTCGTTGCCACTGATATTCCCGAAGAGAGATGTGTAGCTTCGTTTATCAGATACGGAAATTTAACTCAACATCTATGTACAGGAGAACACTGACGTCGAATAGAACGTAGTTCCATGAGGGACATGGGTATGACTATGTATCACTCGAAACTGGAAAATATTGGAGTAAGATCAATGATTTCTCTTTAATTAGAAGAGACTACACCTGATAATGATGATGATATAATTCGTATTACGCCACCTGACAGAGGAAGGGCTTTGCCAAAAGAACGAAAAGTGACACGTCTGAATGAATCTCAGATAAAATATCTCACTGAGAAGTTCGATGAGGGTGTACAAGAGAGAATGCGATGGAAACTAGAGGAAGTATCAGTTGAAATGCAACGAAAAAAAGATTTGAGGAATAGATTCTGTTTCATACCGGCCGAGTTTTTAAACCCTGACCAGATCAGATCGTTTTTTGCACGTTTCAAGTCGATACGTGGAAAGCAAACAGAAACAGTAGTTGTAGACGAAGTGGAGGAGGAAGATGATAATGAATTTGACGATAATCAGGTAGTTGAGGGGACTGAGCAACGAAATAATTTAAGATATTCAATGGAAATTAGCAACGAACAATAATCACCTCCGGCTTCCCCGAAACTGAGCAGTGTCACCAGATAAAAGAGCTGGATCAACGATTGATCTTCATCCGGCTAAAAAACGTTCGTCATCGAGGAAGCGTACTGTTGTCAAATAAAACATGAAAATATTTATAACATACAGCATAACGTAATCTCTTTAAGATCAAACTGCAATCTGTTTTACTTGGCATTTGCCTTCGAGAATAGATCACAGGAAAATAATCAGGCAAGCAAGGGAAGTGGCATTTTTGATGGTTTCATATTCTTTCTGCTTGCCTCTCTAATAGTCGAACAAATTTATTTAACTTTATTCAAAAGAAATTCGACTAAAACCTCAACTCGACTACTAAAAGTATAATCACTGTTGAAAGTTATTTATAAAGACAGTGCACACAGTCAGCAGTATTTTGGACTTTACACTGTTCACAAGGAGAAATACACAAATGTCGTAGACATACCAATAAGGTATCCATGATATTCTGACAGACAAAGTAACCTGAAATAAAATAAACTTCTCGCTATTCAGCTTTCTTACGCTTAAAATAATTTAAAAATTAGAATTTTTAGAATTTAATTTCTCTTTGTCTCTTTCAGCGTAATCAGGATTGTTTAGGCTCCTTTTACTTTTATAATAATGACAGAATGTATATATAGATATCATGCAAGCAAATGAAAAAAGTTAAGAGTGACAATGTGTATACATAACATACGAGTCTGTATCAAGTATAAAGAAATATATTGAAACAATGTGAACCGAACCAATGAAACCGAAAACAATATGAACGCATTTCTCTTACAATAAAATTTGTTAGACTTGACTACATCATGTTTTACTCGGGCTTTTCTTCGAGAACATGGTGCAGTTAGTTTCTGAGGCTTTCCTTGACCATCCAGCACTCTCACCATGACCTAACCTTTATATTACAATCAGTTTCTGAGAAAGAAGACTGAAGGATATGCGCGTATAAAAAGAGAGTTCAAATACTTTCACACAGAAACAAAAAAATCCACCAAACAATATCTTAGCGTCGATGAATTCTTACGCAGCGGTTTCTATATAAAGAAAGAATGAAAAACTATTGATGCGAAAGAATCTTAAAAACAAAGTGTATCTTAAGGTAGATGAGACACTGATTCCATCATGTTTTACCCGGTTTTCTCTTCGGAAACATAATGCAATCAAAGTGGAACCTCGGATTCGCTTCGGGGTTAAAAACAGCAGTTTTATCTGTAAATTCTTTCTTTCTCTACTCGTCACAGGAATCATGTTAACGGTTTTTTGAAAGTTTAGAAAAACTTTGACTGGTATTTTTAAAACAACTTCAGTCTCAGACTTCTCTAGGTTCTTCCATATTCTTCTCAGCTACGGCAATTGTGCGCCAATAAAATAGAAAGGATTTATATATCCTTATTCTCTCACTCACTGAAACTGCTGTATACTTACTCTGTAAATTAGTTATTTCAATGATTTAATTCTACTCTAAAAAAGTTCAAGCAGCAGATATAAACTGCAAAAAGTTTGAGTAGAAAAGAAGAAATAAGTACTTTATAGGACAGATACTGTTTTCGTCTCGTTTAAAAGAGAAGAAGAATGTAGATATCTTCAATGACACACGTGTCTGTCGTATAAGTCATATACAGAAAGAAATCTGTGTATGGATATAAATTCTTTCAAGTTGAAAAATGTTAGAAAAGTATATATCTGATTATATAAAACATGTTCATTCGTGTGAAAGATAAGTAAGGAAGAGGAGAGAGTACAGTACTGCTATAAAGATCATAGTAGTAGAATTTTCCCAAATTCCCACACTTTGATTTTATTATTCGAGCTTTCGAAAGCTTCTGCTTTCATCTTCAGGAAAAAACAAAATGACATAACTATTGAGAAATAGGTTCAAAAACTGCTCTACCTAAATCATTCTTATAAGTAAGGAACTTTCTAGGAACTTTCCTTTACTGAGAAATAAACGCTTTTTATAGAGACATCAGGCACGTGCTCTTTATAATATTTTTCTTCAACAACACACGTGGTTGTCATATAAGTGTATTGGTAATATAAGGTGCCGGAAATTCGAAAGTACCGTGACAAAAACGAATCGAGTCGAATTATACATGATTGGATAGAGCTCGCCGAGCTGATCACGAATATGAGCTTCAAAAATTTTTTAAGTCAAACGAATGGCAGAACAAGTTGAAAAACGAAAAAACCGCTTGTTTTCGAGACCGCCTGTTTCCGATCGGCCTTCCGCATAAAATGGCAAATGGAAAACAATGGTAAATCTATCTACAGAACTCTTCAAAGTTTTTTTGAATTTATTTCGATCAAAAAACATATTAGAGCTTCACTAAACGACAATTTTATCTTATGTTTGTGCAAATCAAAGGATATAATTGACTACGATCATATTCTTCGACTTGTACAAACATTTATCTGCTAATCATATCAATGTTGACAAAACGAAGAATTGTGTGAGTGAATGATTGATGTTTGCCTCTTCATTTTTCAGGAACAGCACCTTAAATGTACTAAACCTTTTAAAATATAAGACATTCGACCATTTTTTTAATAACTCGAGAACATAATGAGCTAACGCGCTGCGTTTTTCAGATTATGAAAGAGGATACTCGGGTGATTAAGTCTAAGCAAAAATAAGTTTGAAAATGAGTACTCAGTTTGCACCTGGAATACGACAATGTAGGATAACGTCAGATCTACTTTTAACAACACTTTCGAGTGATGCATAAATGCGACAGTTTTTTTCCACAAGTGAGTATTTGTTTTGTTCTCCGAGTTAAGGAAACTGCAAGAGACGAATTATTCAGAAAATACCACTTTTGCACTGTAACCATACTAAAATAACAACCTAATAACATTATGTCGTTCGTATATACCCTTAGCTTTTAGTAGAATATATTATAGATATGAGTATTTCCGCACATGTCCGCCCACTTTGTACACGACTTTAAGCCGGAAAGGTGATTGTGTTTGATACTACTAAAAGTGTATAACATTATTTCGAACTTTTTTTTCCTTAGTCATCAATGGTGGATGTTGACGATCTTTAGCCCAAAAATTCTTCGTAGTAGATGACCAAGGCTATTTGGGAGAGTTTGGTTGGTGGTTATTACACATATTCATAAATCATCTATACTATAAAAATTATATCGGTCCACATGTTTGCAGGATTGGTAAAAGACGACATTCTAGACAAGCTTGTACTTATCAAGCTGTTTCTGGTCCACTGTACAGGCCGTAAGAGTGAGCAATACTTCTGTTATTTTAGAAACTTGATAATATGTGTAAGAAGCAACTTATGTCTTTATTTTCAGGCAAGTACCGCTGGCACAAACAAAGTTTTAATTACATGTTTTTTGACACTACTGTTTTGTAGAGCACATCGAATTATCTACTTTCGTGCATTTTTTCCGATGTCAAATAATCTTTCAGTAGGTCACAATTCTATTAATTCAAATTCATTTAAAATCCAGACTCTTTTTGGACTCCAAGGATTCTAAGACCTACTGTCGATCAGATCCCGTTTTAACCCTCAGCACCATAACCTACGACTTCAGCTGACTCTCCGAAGATCTTGCAGCCATCAAAAAGATCTCATTTTGTTCCGAATTCGATTCTCTGTCAATTTAGATATATTTTAAAAAACGAAAAGTTTTATAGATAGCTTGGTTTTCCAGTCCTCTTGGAAAACTTCCACGTGTATTGCGAGCGAGTTCCGTAGCATTTTTTACTTTTGTAGTAGGATATTCACTGATCTCGGAGTTAGAAACCCGTATTTAAGAAAGTGTTTTAAAAACGCTGAGTCCGTTAGAAGAACATGGCAACAGAGAGCTTTTCGGCGTTTTTAGGACATTTAAACTACCAAAAATATAACTTTTATTTTGGTTATATAACACCAAAATTGAGGTACGTAATGTAGCTACAATCAGATTTTTCAGAAGAACAACCGACCGATTTCGCTTCAATATCAAACAAACCTCCCAATTCTCTATTGTAGGTTGTCAGTGCTGTTCTGGTCGGTCTCTCGTTTGAAAATTGTGTGCATTGAGCATACGACCTCCTAATCTTTCTCTCACAGGTCGAATTAATTGAGGGTTACAGCCTAATAAATTTGTTACTTGAAATAATAACTTAAAATAATGGAGGAAAAAGCCCTTTTTTACTCTTGGGGTTGATTGAATGTAACCTGATTTTTTTTATATAGATGCCGTTTTGTTATCTTTACGATCGGATCAAGGTAAAGTAACAAAAAATAGTACTGTTGTCTTTGCAATTCAAATAGCACAAGTTTCTATTTTTTTTCGCCTCTTTTAATTTTCGTATTTCATTATTGCATTGCTGGATTATTATTTTTTTGTGTCTTGTTAAAGAAAACTAAAACCATTGATAGAAACTTTACTATTTCGGGATTCCACTTTAGCAGCACCAGTTTGAATGCTGTCGCAATAATTCAATCAAACGTCTTGAATCCATATTTCACTGTATTGAAAAGCATAGAATATAAAAGCATAGAATTTTTATAGTGGTTAGATAGAGCATGAATGGACATATAATTATCAGTTATCGATTTTATGTAACTCTTGGTTATTGAATAGAAAATCAATTTTGTTTAATACATGCACAACTGCTGCATCTATTCCAATAAATCTCGTACCAGAGATATTCATATCATCGGAACAAAAAAAATAAAGTTGGTTCATATTACATTCTTTTTCGTCTTTGCTCTTCTTAAAAATGTCGACAAGTGCCGCACACTATTTTAATTTATTGGATATTAGTAAAAAAGGAAGTGAGTCAACCAGTTCCTATTTTTATTTTTTATACTTATACACGTATATAAAAACTCGAACACAAATCGGCTTGTCCACGTAACGCGACACTTCGCTGATCAAGTTTATAAAAAAACATTTTCGCTTTCGAAAATTTTGAATACATCACTAGATGTAATTTTTAATTCTAAGAACCCATTTAAAACGCTTTTTTGATAAAAATTGGTTTTTGAGTCTCGAAACCGGTTTATGAACATTTCAAAAATCGGATTTTCTATTTTTAGCTGAGAAGGTTTTCGAAAAAAAAAATTTCTAAACATATGGTTTCGTAGAAAATTTAATTCTCTACAAAATGGCGTATTTGGTTTTGAGCTTCAGCGCTTTAGAAAATTTGTACATATTTGTACATTTACCGACTTAATTTACAGTTTTTCACTCTCCAACCCGAGGTAGCGACTTTATTCTTGCGTATATCGGCTGACTGTAGCACGAATAATTATATGTATAATTATCAAATCTCTTGATCATATTAGGTCCCTCAAAAATACCAAAAATAGTAATTCAATTTATTCTTTTTGAATATTAAAAAACTTTGTGTAAACACTTGTGAATATTATGATGTATTCATATTACAGTCTTTTTCGTCTTTGTTCTTCTTAAAAATGTTGACAAGTGCCGATGATTTATTGAATATTAGTAAAAAGGAAGTGAGTGAACCAGTTCCTGTTTTTATTTTTTATATTTATACACGCATATAAAAACTCGAACACAAATACAGTCTTCATAAAATCAACTTTTTATACTTTCTACATAAACAACAGAAAATGTCGTCCGTTTTGGCTATTATTGCAATCTCCGTCGTCGTCCTATTTATAACTGTTAGTAATGGACCTGTTGTTGGGGCTGCAACCATTGGGCAATCAATACAGCCAGTTGTTCAACCAAAGGCTTTGTTAACTGTTGGACAATGTCTGACTGCTTGTCGAACGAGTGTTACAGCTATGGAAGTATTCTGTCGTCTGGTACCACATCCGGCTACACGTGCAGCATGTTGGGCTATCACATACTATGCCGGTACGCCAAGTGTAGCAATGTGTACAGGATTCTGCTACAGTTCTTTTTAAGTACGACACGCACAACAAACGTAATCCAGAAATAATGTTTAACTTGTACTTAAATGTAAAGCTTGTATTACTACAGAAATAGAGCATCATGTATTTTTGAAAATATAAACTTATTTATACTCCACTACTTTTTACAAAGTATTTAAATTATTGAAGAGTAAAACACTGTTGATAAATTGTGTAAAAATACCTAAAATGAAGAGACTTTTAAAAGCTTTAATCTTCGGCGTTGACGAAATACTTATCTAAATGCAGCGAAAATTCCATGCTTTCGCTGTTTTCGCAATATAAACATACAGTTAAAAGTAAAGTCGATCATCCTGATGTAAAGCAAAATAAAAAATGAAACAACTGAAGTGCATTTTATCTTGGATAGAATCTTTTAAGACACGCTAATATCATTCTTGCACTTTTTTCGACAAGCAGGACGATTTAACAAAAGTAGAACATGGAAGAAACACGGCCTTATATTTTGTGTCGATTTTTGAAAAGGCTGACTTGAAATTGCATAGAAAATCCGGTTTCTTATCCGGTACTGCTATCCATATCATCAGTTGTCTAATGGTGATACACACGACTGAATAAGTTTCGTCAAGGCCGTACGATTAAAGCTTTTAAAGGCTCTTTACTGCTTCGGCAATCATCTTCAACCTCTGTCGTCACGCGAGACCGCCTGGATCTCTTTTTGTCTAACAAGATTTTGTCGTTCTCCCATCCCCACGTTTTGACTGTTCGAGTGGAACGTTTTACGAACTTAGCATTTTTTTTCACACCGATATGTGGTCCGTACTTGTGTCTCGATAAGAAGACAATCTCGAACCGTTTATGAAGCGGAGTAGACACGACCTCGAATTTCTTTTTTTTTTTGAGAATTCTCCAACTAAAACGTGACTTATGTTCTCTTGGTAATTAATGGAATCACATGATAACATGAGTGATCACTTGTAAAGACTATTGAAATATATACATAAGTATATGGCCTTCATACGAATGTGTCATCATAACTCGTAGTTTTCTTTTGCACAATTTAGTGCAACAGGAAAATGCGTAGTTGGAGAAGTACAGCATATGAAAGATCAGAAGATCGAATTCAGGAGAAGACCACCTAAAGATCTTTTTATATACTTTTTCATACGCTGAATAACCTTTATCGTTTAGTTTGCTTCGATTTCGACCTCCTCCACGACTGACGTGTCTTTCTATCCTATACGTGTACTTTGATTTTTTTCGAATTTTCACGTTGAAAGTCACCGAGATTTTCATCAAAAAATAAAAATGAACTACAATTTTCGAAATACACCAGTCGACTCAGTTTTCGATCCTAATTCCGAATATGATATTTATATTGCTTAAAAGTTGAGTTCTTATTGAAAAAAGTCAGAATTACTGATAGAATTACGACTTTTTCGCCTCAGATTTAGAAAAAATCACTTTTCTCAACAATGAAAAAGAATTTCTAAAAAGGCGATTCATACTGTTATTCTACGTTTCAAGGCGAATCGAATGATATAAAATTCATATTATATCCTATTTTCCATCATTCCACATCATTTCACCGTACCTAACGGGTTATACATAAGTTTTGCCAAAATATCGAGTACTGTTTCTTCATGTTCCCACTATACTGACGATGTCGCTTTTTTTTGTTTGAAAGAGCAAAGTCTGAACTACAAAGCGTGTATCAAACAAAATTTTCTCTCTCAAAAGTTTACTGAAAAATAATTCAAAAACTAAGTATTACTAAAAATGTTCGGTAAATTTTCAAAATCAACTAGGAATTGATTACAATGTTCTAGAGGAAGCTTTACCGGTATTTGCGGAGTTAACAGATTTAAGTCATTTTGTAGAAGAAGAAATTTTATTTTATTTTGGTAAAGTTTTTGTAGTGCGCAGTGTTACTACTCATAGTGCTGAAGAAGAATATTGGAATGATGTTACAGCTTTATGGCATATTCAATTAGAAACAACCGATAAAGGTGTAAAATTAGTTCGTGATAATATTGAATTAAACCGCTTAGAATCAGCTGAATCAAACAATATAGTTTTATTTGGTCAACTTTTATCTAACATGGAATTATATTATCATTCAAAAAGACATTTTGAATATTTATTGAACAATTATTCCGAAAGCTATCTAAATGCACTAAATATTCGTAAAGAAACTATTTTATTTCATATTGATCGTTCACATGATTTACGTGGACGACTTTCAGAAGCATATAGCTATTATAAACAAACATTAGATATACAAATGAATACTCAACCATTATTGAATCGAAAAGATATTGCTCGAACTTTAAATAATATTGGTAGCATTTATCATAGTCGAAATATGTTTAAATAACCATTAAAATATTATAGACAAGCATTAAAAACATTTCAAAAAATAACCACCACAGAAAATATTGTTGCTGCACAAATATTACATAATATTGGCAATGTATATCAAATGAAACAAATGAGTAAGCGTGCACTTAAATATTATTTTAAAGCATTAACTATACAAAAAGAAATTTTACCCTCAGATCATCAGAATATTGCCCGATGTCTAAATAATATTTCAAATTTACACAAAGATAGAAGTGATTCAAAACGTTCAACAAGATTTAAAACATGGTTACAAAATATAAGGCAAATGACACTTCGACCAGATCATCCGAACTACATGTTTTCTGAGAAATATAGACCACTCCTTAGTTTTTATAGGTGAATGAAAAGTTGAGTAGTTTTCACTACTTGATGACAGTGATGAACTTGTCATGCAAGACTGAATGATAATAGCAAAACTAAGGGACGAGTTTCAATGTGCATCAACGTGTATCGAATAACACGGACAGAGCTGAGATTCCTCCTTTACTTTAAACTAACGATTTTGTATCGAAAAAATGACTTTTCTCAGCAGTGAAAAAGAATTTCAAAAAGTGTACGTATACTTTTGAACAGGAGCATCTGGCGCATCGAGTCATATAAAAATATTGCCTGTACGGCCCAAAGAAAAACCTGTGTTAGGTTTGCAAAATTGCGTTCGGTTTTTGGGTCATGCGCATTTCGGGATTTTTTACGAATAGGCGTTGGGACCAAAAATGTTTTCAGACTATTTTCTTATTCAGTTTTGAATGCTGAATCCAAAAACCTTTGGTTCTACTGTAGAAACCATAACGCGAAAAAACTACGGCCATTTCTCGAAAACCTTGCATTTTGAGACTTTTTGATACCTTGTAAGCTTTTTCAATTTTTGAACCACAAATAAGTGTCCAAAAAACCTAAGGGATATATACTCGTTATCAGCTCGAAATTCTCTAGCGAGTGGTATGAAAAAGAACAAAAATTAAACTCCACTGAAAGTTTGAATTATGTGCACCTTACTTAAACAATACTTTTTTTGAAATATAAGCAACTTGGCTTTTTCTTTTTTCTTCGATTTACTCATTCATTTTTCTTACACAACTGTTTTTACTTTAATATAACATGCGATAGAACATTTCGATTTCATTCAGTACAGGCTGAATTGAATTGAATACAAAGTAGGTTATTTTCTAGCGAGACTGCAACGCTGATGTTAATGTACCATTAGAAAATCACAGAAAACGATTTCAGTTCAAAATCTGCTGTTTTTCTAGCGGAACAAAACAATTCATAACTGTTGAAAGAAGCCCCATGAAGACAAATCCTCTTATGACTTTAACTAAGACCCTTTTCTATATCAACTGGCATAATATCATTGAAAACGGAGTCTGTGACACTTGACAAGGTTCCACTCTGCGATGGAAAAAACCGTCGAAAACAGTTTTTAATCTGTTTGAGAGATTTCTTGAGATGAATCCATTTCCTTTCTGGCATCATTGCTAAATTAAACAAGAAGGAAAATTTTCTTCGTCTTTCTTTACTTGGAAAAAACCCGAAAAGAAATTTTACCATGTGTACTAAAATACAGTTACTTCTCTTTTCTTTTCAAAGTATATTCTCACTAACTCTAGCTCTTAAACGTCCCAATAAGCAACGATGCCACCCAAAAAGGAGAAAAAGCCATTTTCGCAATGGCAACAGATACTGAAGACTGGTAATTCCAAATATTCAAAGGTAAATTGATCGTATCGATAAAGCAAATCCACCGTCTGATTCACAAGATCCCGTTCATTTTCAAGATGGTCAGCCGTTACAACGAGATGGCACATGGAAACATGGCAAAGGCCATCCATTAGCAGATTCGGAAAAAGAATTTTGTGATTTATTGGATTTCAAATATCAGACACAATGAAAACAAACAAACAAAATAAAAAGCCGTTGACTGACTTTCGGCAGCCACGGAATGAGAATTTTCGGTATTGGTGAAAAATCGAAAATTTTTAAATCATTTGATATTTGAATAGTATCTTAATCTTAATCTTTCATGGTATAGGCGTAACATAAGATTTTTTGAGAGCCTCAGGATGAATATTTCTTCAGGTGTGGTAAGCCCGAAAACGAATGGGAACATAGGTAATCGGCTACGCTGAACCTTGCAGGAATGTTAGTTTTTTAAAAAAGTTTCAGAATCTAATGAAAACATATATTACATGAAGTAACTCATAGATGGTTTTTACTTGGGGTACATAATTCATCAATGTATGAGTGAATATGCAGCAAAGATTTATCACACAAAGACAATCCTTGCACAGACAATAGATAGAACCGAACAAATTTCACTTCTGCAGTAAAATACCGCAAAGGTAAACTTTGACGTTCTGTCATATATCGTGCACAACAGAATTTGTTCAACAGAATGTCTATTGTCTGTACAAGGATTGTCTTTGTGTGCTAAATCTTTGCTGCATATTCACTCATACATTGATGAAGTAATTCACTTTTGTATAGTTTTTGAGTAAAATTAAAAAATTCATAACCTACCGGTTGGAACTTTTAAATAATTTTAAATTAATGTACACTAATTTCTGACCCAAAAAAAGATGAAAAATTACTTCACATCAATTTAAGAGGCCAAACTAATTTACATCAATTTCGCAGTTAAAATGAGCTAGAATTAATTTCTTCGCTAAAACTAGCTCTAATTAGTTTGAGAAAAAATTAATTTAAATTAGTTTTAACTGAACTGGTTTGAATTAATTTATTTTGAATGAGTTCGAATTAATTTCGTGCTTTAAATTGCTTCAGATTAATTTCTAACGGGTGGCGCAGAATAAATTAGACTGTCAGTGTTTTTGAAATTCCTTCTCTTCCTCAAAGTCGATCGAGATCATTCTTATATCAAAAGATTCGCCTTTCAATTCTCTACGAAATGGTATATA